TAGACCATTTAGAACCAATCAGACCCAAGTTGAGCCACGTTGACCCGTGTTGAGTTGATCCCAATTGACTGGGGTTGACCCAAGTTGATTTGGGTTGGCCAATGTTGACTCCTATAGACCCTTTAGGCCCATATCAAGCAATTCCAGGCCCATATTGACCCATTTGGGACCCCCATATCGCATCCCCCTCAACGCACACGGAGAAGACGGGAGCCACCAGGTCCAGGGAGGCCACCAGGACGCCGAGTTCGGCCACGACCGCTGTGAGCCCTAGTGCCCAGAGCGGCTCCCGGCCCTCGGCACATGGCGGCAGCCCCTGCAGCGACATGTGAGACCCCCCAAAATACCACCAAGTACCTCCAAACACCCCAAATAACCCCGAATTCCCCAAAATACCCCCAACCCCCCCAGAATATCTGTAAACACCCTAAAACATCCCAAAATGCCCCCAAAATACCCCCAAAATGCCCCCCCTAAAAAAGCACAGGGAACACTGGGGCCACCTTTTGGACAATGGGGACACATTGGGAACACTAGGAAGGTGTTGGGGACACCTTAGAGACATGACGAGCCCCTGGGGACCCCCTGGTGACACTGGGGACCCCTTGGGGACCCCCCTGGTGACACTGGTGACACGTTGGGGACATTGGTGACACAGGCAGGGTGTGCAGGGGACATGAGGCCACACTGCTGACAATGGTGAGACCTTGAGGACACCCTGGGGGACCTTGAGGACACCCTGGGGACACTGGGGACCCCTTGGGGACCCCACTGGTGACACTGGTGACACGTTGGGGACACTGGGGATGCTCACGGGCAGAGCGCGCAGGGGACATGGGGACACCCTGGGGACACATTGCTGACAATAGGGACAAGGGGACCCCCTGGTGACACTGGGGACCCCTTGGGGACCGCACTGGTGACACTGGTGACACGTTGGGGACACTCACGGGCAGGGCGCGCAGGGCCGCCAGCCCCCGCAGCAGCCCCGGCCCCAGCGCCAGCGCCCGCAGACCGGAGGCCGCGGAGGCCGCGGAGGCCCCGGCCACGGCCACCGGTGGCACCGGCCACGAGAGGACACCGAGGACGGGGACGCCCAGAGCGTCACCGAACCTGCGGGGGGACATTGGGGACAATGGGGGGACACGGGGACATTGGGGACATTGAGGGGACATGGGAATATTGGGAGTATTGGGGACATGGGGACCCCCATGGGGACATGAGGGACATGAGGGGGACATTGGGGACATGGGGACATTGGGGACAATGGGGGGACACGGGGACATTGGGGACATGGGGACATTGGGGACAATGGGGGGACACGGGGACATTGGGGACATTTGTGGTATTGGGGACATTGGGGACCCCCATAGGGATATTGGGGACATGGGGGGACTTTGGGGACAATGAGGGGACATGGGGACATTGGAGACATTGGGACATGGGGACCCCCATGGGGCCAACGGTGGAGACATTGGGGACACCCATGGAGGACAAGGGGGGACATTGGGGACACCCATTGGGTCAATGAGGACATGGGGACACCCATGGGGGACATTGGGGACATGGGGCCACTCACTTGTCCTGCAGGACGACGCCGTCCACGCAGGCGCCCAGCAAGGTGGCGCTGGCGCCGTCTGCCCCGTCAAGGACCCAAAACTGCCAGGAATTGCCCCAAAACGAGGCCACCCCCCAAATGACCCAAAACTCGCCTGAAGTGACCCAAACCGACCCCTTTTGGGGTGATTTCTCCCCATTTTGGGGCCCTTCTGCCCATTTAGGGGCCCTTCTGCCCATTTAGGGCTCCAAACTGCAGCTTTTTTGAGCCCCTGGGCTTCTTTTGGGGCAAATCAGGATGTTTTCAGGCCCAGGGGGTTTTTGGGGCGAAACCCGGCGTTTCCGGCGGATACAGACGAGGGCGGCGACGGCGACGGCTCCGGCGGTGCCGGCGGGTTCCGCGTGCAGGGGGGTGCCCAGCGGTGGGGGGGCCGCGGCCGCCAGCAGCCCTGCCCGGACGCCGGGGCCCCTTTCAGCCGGACGGGGCCCCTTTAAGCCGGACGCCGTTGCCCCTTTAAGGCGGACGCGGCCCCTTTAAGACGGACACCGTTGCCCCTTTAAGCCGGACGCCGGGGCCCCCTCACCGGGCGTGAGGGGCAGGACGAGCCCCAGGACGAGGCCGAAGTCGCCGCCGTGGGTCAGGACGTAGGGGGCGGGGCCGCTGACGTCATCGCCGGGGGGCGGGGCCGGCACCGAGGGGGCCGCCGGCGTCTCCAGGCGCCGCCCGGGCTCCGCCCACCGTGGCCACAGGTTCTCTGCGGCCCCGCCCCCCGAGGTGATGTCATGGGTGTGGCCACACCCCTCCATTCGGACTTCCCCCACCTTAACTCCTCTTAGCCCCGCCCCTCCTCTGGGCCCCGCCTCCAGGCTCCGCCCCCATGTTCTCTCCCACCTCAGAGCTCCCCCCTTCAGACCCCACCCCCTTTCTCCCCAGCCCCACCCCTCTTTTTGGCCCCGCCCCTCTCCAGACACCACCCCTTCCCCCGTCTGGCAGCCATTTTGGGAGGGGCTTCCTCCCCAGCCAGGCAGCCATTTTGTGTCACCCCCCCATTGGCTACCCCATTCCTGGCGGCCATTTAGCCCCTCCCCTGTCCCCCATCTTGCCCCTCCGCCCACCATTTTGTTCCCCCGCCAGCCATCTCATCCCCATGGTGGCCATTTTATAGCTCCCCATGGACCCCCATTGGGTTAACCCAAACCCGGCAGCCATCTTATGCCACCTGTCCGCCATTTTGTTCTCCCTGGAGGCCATTTTGTCCCCCGTTTTCTCCCCATGGCAGCCATTTTGTCTCCCCGGTGGCCATTTTAACCCCTCGCTCACGGGCCAGGACGGCGCGGGCCGGGCCGGGCGCGGCGGCCATGACGCTCGCCCGGTTCCGCCCGTAGTAGCCGTCGCAGCCGCCGGCGCCATCGCAGAAGAGGCCCCGGATTCCTGCGCAGGACCCGCCCGCCGGCAACATGGCCGCCGCCAGCGTCCGGTTGCCCAGCACGCAGAACCTGGGCCCAGAAACACCCGGTTCAGGTCAGTTCGGGGCTTTTGGGGGCCGTTCTGGCTCATTTGGGGACCATTTAGAGCTCTTTTGTCCTTATTGACCCATTTTGGGGTAATTTTAGTCCGTTTTGGGGCCACTTGGGCTCATTCAGGGGGCATTTTGGCTCATTTTGTCTCAGTTTGGGGCCTTTTGGCTCATTTTGGAGCCATTTGGGTCCTTTTTGACTCATTTTGGGTCCCTTTTGGCCCATTCTGGGGCCATTCTGGCCCATTCTGGGTGCATTTCCACCCAGTTTGGCTCATTTGGCGCCTGTCCCGCCCCCGTCCCCACTCACCGGATGCCGCCGGCCCCCCGGACGGCCCCCCGAATGGCGCCGGCCGCCAGCG